CTGGTGAAAATTTCATGTCATTAGCACCTCTAGTAATATATTTACTGAGAAAAATGGTGACGTGTTCAATACTTATTTTACCCGCTGTACAAGACAACCCTGGGCAAGACACCTCTCTATCTGACTTCCCTTCTTCATGCTGCTCATAACACTTATCAAACAAGATCAAGTAACATCATCAGGTTTAATTCCCTCCCAACATCTACCACCTTTGGACGTAATGCTTTTCACTTTGAAGCAGCACACGACTGGAACGCACTCCAGAATACCCTTAAACTCACATCTCTGACCCCAATCTCCATATTTAAGCAGAGCATCCAAAACACAACCACTGACACCTGTTCCTGTTGACAATTTTGAACACATTAAAGCACTTTCTTTTTTTCTACTTTCTACATTTATTTCTTTTAATGTAAATGTTTGTGGTATGCTCAATATTACATGTAAATATTGTATGTTTTTATTCATTCATGCAACCTCTTGACCAGGTCATGTTTGCAAATGAGAAGTGGTTCAGTATCGTCTACTAACTTTATGGTTTCTGGCTGATTTTCACTTTGCAGAAAAGCATCGTAGAGTAACACCACTTGCCATTAACACAAGACCTCAAAAGAGGAAAGAGGTTTTTCTAAAGATGTTTTTGTGTTTTTGTAACATGAACTGTGGTGGGTGTGGTAGAGAACAGATCAAATGCATGTAACTATGTAATTTCTTGCTTTGTAGCTATAAAAACAAAGGTTTTAAGTTTGTACATGATCCGTCCTGATGCTTTGTGGCTGGTTGTTCATTTAGGAGGGAGCCTCTGCCGTGGCTCAGCAGCAGCTGGTGTGTTATATAACCACATGGGGGAGTCAGAGACTAGATTTTAAGCACTAGACCCAGCAGCAGGGGAATGGTTTCAGCTAGTCTTTATACTAATTCTGTCTGTGTGAACTGCATGAACCACCACTCTCCGCCTAAAGCAGCAGCATCCCCCCTCCTCCGTGGTGTGTGTTTACTCCCAGCTTCTATGTATAAGTTCACAACACAGCACATCATCCACTCCCTGGTGCCACAGTATAATTCCTGGATTAAGGTTAACGAGCCTCCCCAACCTTATTGCTGTTATTATGGTTTGGCAGGGGAACATGACAGCAGAGACTTTTTTTTCTGGTGGTTCTGTGCCCTGCGTGACTGCCAGACGTGCTGTGTGCCTTTACTGGGTATACAGGCCTGCGCTATAAAATCTTTTTTTTACATGAAACTCATGGTTTGGGTGTGGATTTGAAACATTCTTCGGTAAGTTGCTGAGATTTGTCTTGGTCATGAAATGGAAAGTAGCTGATGTGAGATGTGGTTTTCCTGCGTACATCAGCCTGCGTGGGCCTTCCTGTGTGGTGTTTGCACGTTGCCCCAGCTGCCTCTGTGGGGGTTTTGTTCTTCCAAAGACATGCCGGATAGGTTAGAGGCAACTAAAACTGCTCATTATTAGCTCAGAATGTGCGTATGAATGGTAGTCTGTATGGGTGTATATTTTGCCTTTTGGTATCATCTGCCATTGGTACAAACTAATGGTGATCTGATCACATCACACAGGCCCCCATTGCAGACAGGTGTGGGCCAGATTTGGTGTCAAGATGGCTCTGCTGGCACGGCTATGGTTTGGTTTATGTGGTGCTTACCCATGCGTGGACCGCCTCTGGCAAACCACATCTGGGCCATCAAAGGGCTGTCATTTGTTGTGGTATCTAGGCACCCGCTTCGGATGTTATCATCCATTAAATGGATGTTATTAGCCAGAGATGGGATGGGAGACTGTGATGAAGTGATTCAACACAATCTGCTGGCTTCTTCTTTAGATTGTTCTTTTTTTCATGTACAGTGCCCTGAGACAACGTATGT